GAATGTGAAAAGATTGCTAACTTTCCCATGGTATGACACAATTGACACATAACTAAGTGTGCAGGTTCTAATGTCCAGTTATCCTACACTTAAAACATCTAAAACAATGTAGAAACCTGCTCATTGGCAAACTGGCAAACGGGATCCCGACAACTGCAAAGAAAGACTCTGTCCAACTACTTAAAAATCAATGCAGTTTGTCTTTTGAAAGTACAAAACAAATTGTAAAAATAGTCTCACTGGACAAGCAATGCCTCAACCTGAAAAAATGGCTCTAATGTTAGGACTTCTTCACTCTTGTCTGTGAGGTGCAGGCGATTTGGCTATGTGGGTATGCTAGGGGCTCAACCATCCTATTTGCCTGGGACGAAGGCATTTCCAGGAACATGGAGCTTTTGGTTTTGAAACCGGAAAGTCCTGGTAGACAGAGATGGTGGAAACCCTAGGGTATGTTTTTTTCATATTTCTCAGTGATACTTTATACAATATAAGCCAGGTACTGTACTTGATTTGGTTTTACAATCAACTTTATTGGGCATTCGTACTGAGTTCACTTCTTGATGGCACAGTTTCTTTACCAAGTTAGTAGTCATGCCTGTAAGTCCTAACAGAGTTTAGTAGTGGCTTAATTACCAGCTATGCAAAATGCCCGGTGTTTTAATTTTTTTAAAGTTCAATTAAACAAACAAGTTTCTTCAATTAGGGTAATCAATGCTTTCTCTTTCTTGTCAGTTCCCAAATGACTTTTTTTTTTTCCTTTTTTTAAAATACAGGAATGGAAGTCTTAGAAAGTTATATATGATTTAAAAAAATCCTTTTTCAACGTTGTCTAGTAATTTCTAACTCCATCTCCTTTAGAAAGATTATATAGAGACTATTACCAGACACAGTGGCTCAGGCCTGTAACCCCAGCACTTTGGGAGGCTGAGGTGGGTAGATCACCTGAGGTCAGGAGCTGAAGACTAGCCTGGCCAACATGGTGAAACCCTGTCTCTATTAAAAATATAAAAATTAACAGGGTGTGATGGTACACGCCTGTAGTCACAGCTACTCGGGAGACTGAGGCACAAGAATTGCTTAAACCCAGAAGGCGGAAGTTGCAGTGAGCCAAGATAGCACCACTGCACTCCAGCCTGGGTAACAGTGTGAGACTCTGTCTCAAAAAAAAGAGAAAGATTGTATAGAGACTATGCAGTAAAGGTGTAGAAAACTAAAGGCGAGCCATCAACAGGTTATAATATATTCCCCATTCATTCAACTTCTTTTTGGTGTAGATGAGTATCTGTTGTCTTTGAGGCAGATGGTCTCTCATGGAAACAATTAATTTCGAAAACTCTATACGTGGCTCCAGGTATGTAACACTGAAATGATCTTCATTTTATAGATGCCAAGAAAAATGTCAGTCATGGGAAACTCTCAGTGTTACTGGCTCCCACAGCATGATCCTCATGTAGCAAAAAACCTGAAAAACACCTGCTCACTATGACCTGATCTTTGAATGTTACGTTGCATTTCGAACTCCTTGTTTTTGTACAGAACTGAAAACCCCCCAAAAAATACATGACGAGGAGTAAAAATATCATGTTTTCACTCAACAGTTAAATGGACAGCTATTTAAAATATATATTTATAAAATAGTGTACATTTAAAATATCTAGTGGTATTATTTAAATTAGTTAGAAGCCATCTGTGACTGGTATAGTGCATTCAAAGGCACAATTGATTTGAAGACTGAAGCACAGTACAGATTTCAGTTCTTACATTTAAAATGTCCTCAGTTTTAGGTTATATAATGATAAACTATACCTGCTGAAAAATATACACAGAAAATAGAAATAATTTTTATGCAAATAAGACTCATCTGTAAGATTCATTTATTCTATCCAGTGGACCATAGGAAATGTGTCTGGATTACTGGGCATAAATATGCAACATTTAAAAGGGAGTGGAGATCTTTATTAAAACAGAAGACTCCTCAAACTCCATGATGATGTCAATAATATAGGTCCTTGGAGCACATTATTGTTCTAAACAGAGGTCCCCATACTTCCACATTGGTTATAAAACATTATTTTGTGCTGCTGGCCTGGAATGAGAATGTCATACATCTGCAGGCAATTAGAAGAAGCTGGACTGCATGTTTGATTAGCTCAATAAGAAACGGGCACAAGTGTGACTCGACTTATGTTAGTCAAATTCCCTAGACAGATTATCCTGTTGTTATCATATGAAATAACCCCCTTTTATCAACAATTAAGTAAATCCACATTTATGGGCACTTTGCAAAATTGTGAGGTGGGAAGAAATCCAACTTAAGCCTTAGGCCTTCCAAAAAACTTTTAACCCTGCTTTCAATGGTATAGACACCAATCTCAAATTTTAGAAACTGGCTGCATTACACAGAACAATTTGGGTTGGAAATAACCTGTGTGCGCACAGTCAACAGGTATGTATTTAGCATATTCCATAAGCAAGGCACTTAATAGTCTGCTTATAACTAAAAAAAATGCCCAAAGAAGTAAGAACTATAAATGTTTTACTATGTGAAACGTAACTTAGTTAGGTAGTCTAAATATTTTTGAGAAAAGTTAAATAGGATTTTATTCTCATTAATCACAGTACAGTTTCTGCCATAACCAATGCATGTTGTAAGTCTTGAATATATTTTATTCTAGGACCTCTTCATTTAGTTCTGGGCATTGTTCTTGAATTCAACCATAAATATCAATGACGGTCTACAAACTACTTTGGGAAATGACTCATTCATTTATCTGTTTTTTTTTTTCCCTCCCAAGTACCATTAAAATATACATCTAAAGTATTCAAAATAATTCAGTATATAAAAGTTGATAATTTTTCAGCAAAATTTTTTGATTTTGGGAAAAATACCACCAAACTTTCCAGTCTAGTTATATAACTAAATAACACAATTAAAAGCTGGTGTATCTTAAATAAACTCAATATTTTTTTTATCAGTATTAACCCAAATACATGTATAAGAATAACCTCATCGTTTTATCTCCTTGACATAATCCTTAAATTCAATATCAGAATATCAAGCAGATGCTGAAGCATTCATCATCAATACTGGAATTCTGACTCATGACAGTAACACAAAACAGATGCTAATACCATGCACCCTCTGAAAAGTGACACCATCACAACATGGGTTAGGTCTTGATGTGGGGTACTTAAAACTTACAAACAAAATATGAAATAAATAAGTTAGAGCATGACAAGTTTCCTTACTTCATTTTTTTTTTGTTTTTTGAGACAGAGTCTCACTCTGTTGTCCAGGCGGGAGTGCAGTGGCATGATCTCGGCTCACTGCAACCTCCACCTCCCAGGTTCAAGTGATTCTCCTGCTTCAGCCTCTCCAGTAGCTGAGACTACAGGCATGTGCCACCATTCATAGAGAATTTTTGTATTTTTAGTAGAGATAGGTTTTGCCATGTTGGCCAGGCTGATCTCGAACTCCTGACCTCAGGTGAACAGCCCGCTTCAACCTCCCAAAGTGCTGGGATTACAGGTGTGAGCCACCATGCCCAGCCCCTTGCTTCATTTTAAAGCCATTTAAATTCGAGTATCTTTTATACAGAAGATAAAACTAAACACGGGTGAATAAGGGGCAACAACCCCAACCCAGGGCACAAGAAAATGCATCTTTCATTTAATGTAGCAGCTCAGTGGTCTCTATTGAAACCCTTGGTGTTAAGGGAGGAAGGTGCTCTCTTCCTCACATATGACCAGTTAGAAAGTGAGAACTCCTGGACCCTTTCCATTGGCTCATGTGTGCCATACACGTATGTGGTGGTGACATGGAGTTCTGTACTATGGGGTCTACCTAGTCAGCCTCTGTCTGGAGGCTCCTATGGCCCCATTTCACGAACACAATCTCCACACCAGGCTGCTCTGAAACGGTTTGCTAAGAAGGAAAGGGAAACAATCTCTTAGCACAGTTCAGTTAGCTAATATCCTACATGTCTTCAAAGCCCCAGATTCTTATCACTTTGCTAGTATGAGCTTACAGCTGTTTCTAGAATACACAGTGATGTGTATGCTCTGTGAAAATAAACAGAAAAACCTAGGCAGATGATGCCATGGTGCAAGTGATATAAGTGAAATGTGGTCAAATGAGAGCTTTAAAAGAGATATAAATGTGAGTGGGGGAGAGTCCCTCCAAGGTAATGAGAAGCAGGAGCCCCATTTCTTTATTCCTGAATGAGGAAAGTAAGTCTGTGGCAAGTTCGATGAAAAGAAACTTGAGAAACCAAAGGGGTACATCTGTGGAGTAGCTTGACAGCATAATTTCAAATTCCCAATGAATAACCTGACAGCAACTTTTGCCAGCTGTGACTTTGGCACCTGCCTTCCTGGGTTGGAAGGTCAGCTCTGCACTTAGCACCTGTGTGACGTCTGGTTCTCAAACTTGGCCGCACATGAGGAACTGAAAAAAAAGCCGATGCCTGGAACCCACCCTCAGAGACTGTGATTTAACTGGGCTGGGGTGTAGCTTGGCCATCGAGAAGTTTTAAAGGTTCCCAAGTAACTCTAAATATGGGCAGCTAGGGTTGGGAACCACTGATGAACTTTCTAAGCCACAGTTTCCCGTTTGTAAAACAATGATGACATCTACAGCAACTACCCTTTAGGAATATTGTGATGATTAAATATGATAATGCAGACAAAGCACTTAGCATGATGTCTGGCATGCGGGAAGTCCTTAATAAATGTGAATTATTGGAGGGGGGAGGGATTGCATTGGGAGTTATACCTGATGTAAATGATGAGTTGATGGGTGCTGACGAGTTGATGGGTGCAGCACACCAACATGGCACAAGTATACATATGTAACAAACCTGCACGTTATGCACATGTACCCTAGAACTTAAAGTATAATAATAATAATAAATTAAAAAAATTGTGAATTATTATCATCCTCACCACGAGGTGCACTTGGGCAAAAGCTTTCGATGGTTAGGAAAATAAGTTATTCCTACCTTGGCACACGTTGTGTTCGCTTTGCTCGTAGCCTGCTGCACATTGGATACGGTGGGAAGGGTTGGAGGGAATGCGCTGAGGGTCAGCTGGGTTCCGCCGGATGACAAAGTTATTTCGGCCAGCCTGCACTTCAGGGCCTGCGACTGCAGCAGCACTGGCCACAAAACCACCCCCGGGCAACACTCCACTGGTTGCCATGCTGCTGGCAGCTACAACCCCGGTGGTTGCCCCTGAGGTTCCTTCTGCTGGTGGTGTTTCCTGCTGAGGCTGTTCATTATTGACAATAATCTGGGCTGTTTTCGGAAGGCAGAGGTATCCTCCATAGTGGTTGACACATTTCATTCCACCTTTACAAGCGTCTGGGACAATGTCACATTCATCAATATCTGTGGTCAGTAATAAAATAAGTCAGGAATCTTCTAAGAGGGAAAAATCGAACATGTAAATATAATGCTCATGCCTTTTTGGTATAACACAGACAGGATAGGAAGAGTGACACAAGAGATGGAGACAGAAGGCCAATGATCACATGGGAAGTTTTGAAGCTGGCTCACCTTTGCATTGCTGTCTCACAGGATCCCACTCATATCCGTCAGTGCATTGCTGCAAAGAAAACATCAAAGGTGGGGCCAGGAGACAGTTAATTGGTGTGTCCATTCCCTAAGAAATCACTCTAAAAGCTTCATTCTTACGGCAACAATCCTTGCGCTAAAGTCCTAGATATATGATGAGATGGGTGGTTTAACATTCTATCGCTTTTTTTTAAAAGACAACTCTGTGCATTGGACAACTTCAGGGGTCCATTCTCAATCATCGGCTGCCTAAACTCTTCTGTTGTTTTTGGTACAGTTGCCCAGTACCATCTTCTTTTCTGTTTTGAGACTAATCTTCTCCAACTTCTCTGACTGCTCTTTATTAATTTGCCTTTTTCCCACATTGTAAATGTGAAAAAAAAAAAGACCAAATTCTCTCTCTTTCCTCGCCCTCTCCCCCGCCCCACCCCCGCCCCCACCAGTGCTGGGCTCCTCTCTCTCTCTCTAAATCCTCTTGCAGCATGCAAACACCTAGCTTTCTTTACCATTCTTACCTCCATCTCACACCCTGGCCTGTTCCCTAGCTTCAGTTCCTAGGGAACAAATGTGTTCCTCCTAGCAGTTCCCAGCTTCAGTCTCCTCTCTAGTTCACCCACTGAACAAACAGCCTATGGAGCACCTTCTGAAACCAGGCAGTTTTAGGGCCTGGGGATGCAAAGATGATGCAGACTTTGTCCCTGTCCTCAACCAGCTCAAAGACCAGAAGAGGAGACAGACAGGTAGACAAGTTGCGCAAGATGGCAGGTGCCTTCTACAAGTGTACACGGGAAGGAGTGATGGACTCTGCTCCGGGGAATGGGTGAGCATGGCAGGGCAGAAGGGAAGGCTTGACAGAGGAGGTGACAGTGAATCAGGCTTTACAGGATGAGCAGGATTTTTCCAGATGAATGTGGGAATTCTAGGAAGACAGGCTATTGTGACAAAGGCATAAAATTGTTGAAAAGGGAAGGAGCTCCAAGGAGTTCTGGGTAGGTGGAGGACGAGGTTACAGAGGTAGGCAGAGCCAAATCAAGAAAGCCTTTCTTTAGGAATGGAAGCCTGAATTCTACCCTGAAGGTCAATGAATCTCAAGCTTTATTGTGTCTAAGGATCACTCAGGGTGCTTGTTAAAATGAAGATTCCTGGGCCCACCCAAAGGATTTGATTCTGTAGGTCTGGGTAGGGGGCCTGGAATCTAAATGCTTAGCAAGTATCCCAGGTGATTCCCATACAGGTTGTCTAGGAACTACTTCTTGAGAAATGTAGGTATAGGCAATAAGAGGCCTCTGAAGAATTTTTAAGCTCAGAGAGCAATCTGATCAGACGCTCACTTGGGAAAGTCACTGTGAGGAAGAAGCCTAAGGAAGGACTGAGCAAAAGTGGAGTAAACAAACAAATAAACTTAAATTCTTTTAATATAACTGAGAGCTGCTTATGTATACAATGGATGCTTGACAAGGAAATAGCTGAATGGAAGCCTAGAGATCCATTTAGATATTTTACTGATGTCTGAAACTTACTGGAGTGAGAACTAAATTCACTTTGTCTCTCAGAATAATTTTTTTCTTGCTTCCCAAACAGTGTTCAAGGTACCAGCACCTTTCTTGAAACCCAGGATTCCATTTTAACATCAGTGCTGAATCTCCACTTATTTTCCTTCCATCTCTGCTGACTTTGTGTCCATTTCTACATCTACCATGTAGATGTAAGTCTTCTGCTGGCCCGTGAGTACGCAAGGCCCCGTATCTCTACATGCTGCATACACACCCCATGATGGTCTTTCTTGTGCTCTTGGTTATGTTGCTCCTCTCTCTGAGACCTCACAGTGACCTCTAGGTCTCTCATCATCACCATCTCTGGGTTCTTTCCACTACCCACTTCCAGCTGATCTGACCTTATCCCCACCTGGATTGGTCTCAGGTGCTTTCGGCTCTAGCTTTTGATTATGCCACTCTCTGACTCAGGTGCCTCTTTAGCCTTTCTAGATCAATCCAACCGAGGTCATCACTTCCTTCAAGAACCAGCACAGAGTTCTGTCTCCTCTAATATGCTGGCACCAACATTAATCACCTCCTTGCTTTTCTATTTCCTTGGCAATTTGTATAATCTGTATAACAGTATCATTTGTACTTGCTTAGGAACTTTGTAGTTTTCAACACTGTCTTCCCAGGGTAAATTCTCCAAGAGGGGGCTGAATTTTCTTAGTAAACAAATAAATTATTTTAATAGTGTTGAGAATTGCTTATGCAGATACTTGTTGAGTAAATAGCTGAATGGACACCATCTTTAATATGGAAGAGGACTTGAGGCTATTTTGTGGAGCCCATTCTTCTGAAGAGTATCTTTCAAGCCAGGCAAAAATGGCAGTTCACTTGAATAATTTGTATGGTAAATAGAGAAGACTTGCAGTTTGTTTAGTATTTACTTCTAGACATTTAATGTCAGTGTACTATTAAGTATGCCTAGACTGAGTTTAGCTTCACCACTTGGCTATGTAGCCCTAAGCAAGTTAGACAGTCTCTCAGATCTTCAGTTCTACCACTAGTAGAAGGAAGAGATGCCACTTACCTTACACATTGCCGCAAGGATCAAAGGAGATCGTGTCTCCACAGCGGGGTACTCAAAAATAGTTATTATCTTGTCCTTTAACCATGAATTATTAGGCATATAAAATTTAAAGGAGAATAGGCCCAATCTTAGCACAAAAGGGTAACATATCTGGAAAATTTGTTACAATAATAATGAACCTTAGTTAGTGGTCTTAAAACTACCATGTTTAAGCCACAGGGAACCTTCTCTGGTAAAAATGAGTAAGATTTAGGTGATTAGCAAAGGGAAGGGCACAGAAGATAAGCAATTGGAAAAGAAGTAAAATCTTTTATGAGATTATTATAAAAGTGGGTAGTGAATTTAATTTTAGCTCCATGAGAAGGCAGTAAGTTTAGTCTGAATAACAAAACATTTTCATTTTAAGATAAACAGCACATGCCTTCATTTTTCTTGCTTTATTTATCTTCAGCAGAGGAAGCAACTGCATTTAACATGAAGTTAACAAAATATTTGTATTAAGCTATTTTATTTATAGTGGATCTGAACAACAGAAAGGAACATTTGCCAGATGAATACTAACATTCTAGGGATAATGTGGTACCAAAAAGTGAGATAATGTTTATTATCAGTAATTGACATTAGTTCATTTTTAAGAGTTTTCTTTTCAGAAATTTTTCACATTCTTTCCAGTAGGATTACTTAATTTTAAACTGGGAGCAGCAGAAAAATGTGTTTTTCATATTCCTATCCAGGACAAATGTCATTTGCCTCACGCTGATTAAAGACAAGAAAACACAAAACAGAGGTGCAAACAAACTCACCAGAAGTGAAGTCAGTACTGTCCTTCTCTGTTCTCACCACAGCTATTTGTAGCAGTGGGAGGGATCAGATGATCTTTTTAATATTTTATTAAACATTGGTTACACCTATGCAATTAACTAATCAAATATTACTTGGAAATATCAGAGATGCTAATTAGAAAATGCAAAACAGAGTTGCACACATTATGTTTGAAAACCACTTTAGCCAGTATGCATCCTGGTAACACATAAAGTGTGTCTGCTTTTATTTATTAGAATTACAGTTATACAAAAAAGAATGAATATACAGCCTTTATAAATTCAATAAAGGCCACTTACATGAGAATGTCTGTCATGTACACAAAGGAGGCCATGTGTCTTTATGGTGTTTAATGTTCTTACTTGACTTGAGTCTTATTCTGCACGTATTGGTTTTATCTGCATGTGGTAGGAATCCAGGTTTTCCAGTTCCTTACACCCATTAATTTGTTGAATGTTTTGGAAATATGTAACTTTCTTTGGTTTGAGTTTTTAAACGGATCCCATTTTTAGACTTGCACAAATGATTACATGTTGGTCCCTATCTTAGGTGGTGAGCCCAGTGAACTTTCGAAAGGATCAAGGGGGCAATTTACAACGAATCTTAGATATGAAGCATGAATGAAGTGTTGTTTAATTTATCACCCTCCGCACAGTATAGGCCAAATACACTGGCAGGGGTGTGTAAAATCTTTTTTTTTTGGTCACAGAATCCCGCTGAACCGTACTTATTTCAAATTCCATCACCCCTTACCGTGTACGTGATGGTTTCTTCGGTGTCCTGTGACTTGACGAGCGCCAGAGTCAGCATAGTTAGGAAAAGGGCTTTCAACATTGTGAATCTCAAAGAAAATACAGGACAAACTGATGTTTAGTATCTGCTGCGGGGAAAGTAACAAAACTTTAGCAGTGAACACAAGCGAGGAAGGGAGAGTGGGAGAGGCTGAGGCTCCACCATACTCAACTTCCAATCTGCTTTCTCATCTCCCCTCCCCCTCCTGAACCTTCTCGGTAGCCAACGAACAAGGCAGCAAAGACGTAAAAACTGCTGCAGAATTGCATTTCACGTTACTCCATCCTGCTACGCTGTTTACATACAAAAGACATTCAGCGTGCATTTTATATTGCACCTACAAACCAGGCTGCAGAAAGAGGGGGTCGAAAGGAAAAAACAGTACATTTCAAAGGGGACGGTGCATTTCCTGCCCCCCAATCCCACACCCCCGGGGATGGAGGTGGGGCTGCAAAACTCTATTCTCTAGAACGTAAAGGCTTTCCCAGTATGCTCACCTTGAGCTAGCAAAGTTCCTCGCACAGATCAGCAAAAATACCTGCGAGCCAATATGAATTGCCTTGGCCTCAGGCTTTTCATTTTTTAAACAAAATAACAATACAAAATTCAGAGAGCGATCTCCCAGTTCCAGTAGAACACTAGACCTTCTCACATCTCTCAGAGCTTCTCACATCCCCCAGCACAACCTCTCAAAGTGGCATTTCCACGCCTTTCTCTGCGCACAGCTTTGTTTAAAAGTCCCAGGTTGTGTGGAGGGGCAGCCCAAAGCGAGTGCTTCCCTTTTGTCTTATTAGTCTCTGGGTCCCCGACATGCTACCTTTGGTATCAGGCTGCCTAGGAGCGGAACCAGGGATCGCACCGCCACCCGAGGTACCAGTTTCTGGCGGGCGGCCTGGCGCGGGAGGGAGATGAGGTCCCCTTTCTTAACAGCAAGCTAACGCGGCGGTCCCCTGGAGGTGCTCACCGTCCCAGCTTCTGACCAGCTCCTGTGGAATCCAGGTGCGGCTTAAATCTTGCACACTGGTCCCCTAAACTTTCAAAACCACGTTTATGGGCAAAGCCCTGCCGGCTGGTTGTGGGCGCGCACACACATGCCCATCCCAACAGATGTCACCCGAGTGCTCGCACTTGCTGACAGATCGCATTCCGAGGCTGCACACCTCCACCTCCCTCTCTGCCCGAGACACCCTGCACAGTCCAGGGCAGTTCTCGAGTACTCAGCACCCCTCAGGTCACCCCACCTCACTCACTCTCCCGCGCGCGGCCCCGTGAGCACTGGGCTCGCTCGGGGCGACACCCGGTCAGGGGCTCCTACCTGCGCGGCCGCGCTGCGCTCCGGGCCCGGGCAGCGAGGGGAGTGCGCAGGGGAGGGCAGCCCCGTGGGTCTGATCTGGCGAAGTCTGGCAGCGGCCGCGGCAGCAGGAGGAGGAGGAGAAAGGGAGGGAAAGGGGGAGGGCGAAGGGGGGCGGAGGACAGAGCTGAGGGAGGCGCAAGAGCTGAGCCAAGCGCTGCGAGCCCGGCGGTAGAGCGCGCAGCGCAGCGAGGTCTGCGCCCCCTGCGCCAGGGGCCTTCTCTGCCGCCCCAGCCTGCCCTCCCTTGCCAGCCCCTCGTTTCCCAGACTCGCGGGGACCCCAGGCCAGAGAGGACACGTTGACATGTGATGTCCTGGGTGTGCTTCAGCCTGGGGATGCTCCCACTCTCTAGTGCGTTTTCTTGTTCTCCAAGGAGGGTCTCCCTCAGAGACCAGAGGGTCTCTAGAAATTGCTGTTAATTTTTTTTCCCAGTAAGTGAATGCTAGGAGAGTAAATTAACCCCATTCATAGAACTGTTTCCTTACCTTTTCTTTCAGATTTTTTTTTTGAGGTGTCTGCTTCCACAAATGGAGAAAAATGAGAATTCATCCATTCAACAAATGTTTGCCACCTACTGTGTGCTAAGTGTTGGGTATAGGCCAAATAGAACTTGCACTAACAAAACTGTGAGGTGGGGTTTGTTTTACGGTCTCTCAAACCTCCCTTTATGATAACAAGTGTTGGCGAGAATGGAGAAAAGGGAACGCTTGTACGCTGTTGGTGGAACATAAATTAGTACACACATGATGGAAAATTGTATGGAGGTTTCTCAAAAATCTGAAAGTAGAATTATCATATGATACAGCAATTTCATTTCTGGGTATTTACTGGGAAGATTTGAAATCAGTATGTTGAGGAGATGTCTGTACTTTAATGTTTATTGCAGCGCTATTCACAATTACCAAGATATGGAATCAACCTAAGTGTCCATTAAGGGATAAATGGATAAAGAAAATGTGTCATATATGTGTGTGTGTGTGTGTACTATCTATATATATTATCTATACACACACACATATATATATGCCTTTTTAAGGCTAAATAGTATTCCATTGTGTGTGTGTGAGTGTGCCTGTGTGTATATGAGCCCATTCTTTTGAAAAGTATCTTTCAAGCCCGGCAAAAATGGCAGTTCACTTGAATACTCTGTGAACTGAGTAAATAGAGAAGACTTGCAGTTTGTTTTTGGTATTTACTTCTAGACATTTAATGTCAGTGTACTATTAAGTATGCCTAGACTGAGTTTAGCTTCACCACTTGGCTATGTAGCCCTAAGCAAGTTAGACAGTCTCTTTGATCTTCAGTTCTACCATGATGCCACTTACCTTACACTTTGCCGCAAGGATCAAAGGAAATCGTGTCTCCACAGTGGGGTACTCAAAAATAGTTATTATCTTGTCCTTTAACCACGAATTATTAGGCATACAAAATTTAAAAGAGAATAGTATTCCATTGTGTGTGTGTGCGTGTGTATACACACACACACACACAATGGAATACTATTTAGCCTTAAAAAAGAAATTCTGTCATTTGTGACAACATGAATGGAAGTGGAGAACATTATGCCCAGTGAAATAAGCCAAATACAGGAACACAAATACCACATGTTCTCAAGTATCTGAATGTAACTTGAAACAATTGAACTCATAGAAGCAGAGAGTAGAATGGTGATTACCAGAGGCTAGGGTTGCAGGGAATGGAGAGATAACAGAATGTAAGCCTCAATTAGATAGGAAGAGTAAGGGCTGGGTGCGGTGGCTCACGCCTGTAATCCCAGCACTTTGGGTGGCCAAGGTGGGCAGATCACCTGAGGTCAGGAGTTTAAGACCAGCCTGGCCAACATGGCGAAACCCCATCTCTACTAAAAATACAAAAATTAGGCATGTGCCTGTAATTCCAGCTACTCAGGAGGATGAAGCAGGATGATCGCTTGAACCCTGCGAAGCAGAGGTTGCAGTGAGCTGAGATTGTCCCTCTGGGTGACAGAGTGAGACTCCATCTCAAAAAAAAAGACAGGATAAGTTTGATTTTTTTTTTTTTAGATCAATTGCACGGCGTTGTTAATAAAGCCAATAATTGAGTACTGTATATTTCATTATCACTAAGAGAGTAAATTTCAAATGTTCTTATCACAAAAAATGTCAAATATTTGAAGTGATGGATATGTTAATTAGCTTGGTTTAATTATTCCACATTGTATTAAAAAATCATAACACCTTGTACCCTCTTAATATATATGACTATAATTTGTCAATATATAATAAAAAGTCTCCCTTTTTATGACTTTCTTTTTTCATCTATAGCTTCTCTTTTCTTCACTTGTTGACTTAGTGAAATCTCCAATACTGCTTTTTCAAAGTTGGGCATTTCACTTTCACCTTTCATACTCAGTGGAATTTCAGGAATCTGGAGAGAAAAATCTTTTTTTCTGTCTTTACCAAATCATACCACACAAATTGCAGTTACCTCTGAAGGCTCCAACTCTAAAGTCAAAGTAATAGCTTGCTTCTAAGGCATCTGTCTTCTAGGAAGCAAATGGCCAAATAGAATTTCATGAATGAGACAACTTACAAACTGAAGGGGTTAAAGACTTTGACTCTGTCCTTGAGCAGGAGGCAGAGCTTAGGAGGAGAGGAACAGCTCCTTTCCTTTCCTGCTGACCAGAGGTGGGAGGGTGGTAGAGACTGCAGGAGAGGGAGGTTATCAAGTGGAAGCTGCTCTCTTTATCTCTAGGGTATCCAGTGTGGGTTACCTAGACGTTGCCAGTTTGGTAGCAAGCCACACAGTGTTGGACGAGATCAGAGGGGAGGTGTACAACCCTCCGTAAACATTACTTGAGTATACAGGGTTTTGGTAATGGTATTGAATATTTTTACTATGAAAATTCTAGTAAGTGTTTTCCCCAAGTCATTAATGACCTCCAGATTTTTTTAAATGAATCTTTGCTTTTTGTACAGTAAGTAGATCTGTGCACATGGTTTTTCCTGTTTCTCTTAAACCCTTTCTACCTGTTCTCAGCCACTTTTCCAGAAAAATGGGGTGAAAACTCTCAAATTTATATCTCCAGCCTGGAACTGTTCCTATATATCCAACTGCCAACTTGCTATCTTCATTTGGGCATCTAATGGATGTTTCAAACTGAACGCAACTGCTATTATCATCCCCCAACCTACTCCACCCACCTTCACCATCTCAGTTAAAGCAATTTCATCATTGCTTTTGCTCAGATTTAGGACCATGGAGTCATCCTTGTTTTCTCTTTTTCTGAGATATCCTGCATGTTATCCTTCAGAAAATTCTGTTGGCTTCACCTTCAAAATATATCCAGAATGGAACCACTTCTCATCACCTCTTTTGCAACCACTCTAGTCTAAACTACCACCATTTTCCACCTGTATTATTGCAACATCCTCCTAATTGGTCTCCTTGTTTACAACCTTGTTCTCCTGCAGCCTTTTTGCAGTGGGAGTTCATATGAATGGAATCATAGAGTACCTACTCTTTTGGGTCTGACTTCCTTCACTCAGCATGTTTGAGATGCATCCTTGTTATCAGGTGTATAAGAAGCACATTCCTTTTTATTGCTGAGTAGTATTCCATTGTGTGTATGTACCCTGATTTGTTTGTTTACATCTTAATAGATACTTGGATTGTTTATGAATAAATCTGTTACGGACATTCACATATAAGTCTTTGTTGGGATATGTTTTCTTTTAGATAAACGCTTAGGAGTGAAATTGCTAAGTCATATGGTAGGAGTAAGTTTAACATTATAAGAAAGTGTCAAACTGTTTTATAAAGTGAGTGTGTTATTTTATGTTCTTACCAGCGATATGTGAGATTCAATTTGCCCGAAATCCTTGCCAACTCCTGGTATCGTCAGTAATTTACAATGTTAGCCAATGTGGTGGGTGTATAAATGGTATTTCACTGTGGTTTTATTTTACATTTCTCTGATGTCCAGATGTCTCTGATGTTGAATTTTGCTTTTCATGTGCTTATTGTCCATCAATATATTTTATTTCAAATTTTTGTTCATTTCTTTATTTTTTGGCCTTATTAGTTGTAAGAGTTTTTAAAAATAGTCTTCCTGCAAGTCCTCTTCAGATTTATATTTTTTGAACATTCTTTCTGGTGTTTGTCTTGTCTTTCCAATTTGTTAATGCTGTCTCTTGAGAGCGAACATTTTAAATTTTGATGAATTTTTTTTTTTTTTTTGAGTTGGAGTCTCGCTCTGTCACTCAGGCTGGAGTGCAGTGGCGTGATCTTGGCTCACTGCAACCTCCGTCTCCCAGGCTCAAGCAATTCTCCTGCCTCAGCCTCCTGAGTAGCTGGGAATACAGGTGCACACCACCACGCCCGGCTAATTTTTGTGTTTTTAGTAGAGACAGGGTTTCACCATATTGGTCAGGATGGTCTCGATCTCCTGACCTTGTGATCCATCTGCCTCGGCATCCCAAAGTGCTGGGATTATAAGAGTGAGCCACCGCACCCTGCTGGATGATTTATTTAATGGAGTCCAACTTTATGGATTCAAACTGGATGCATGGATTGAGCAGAATGCAAGTGGAGATTGCAGCAAATTCACCTTCCTAAATTGCTCTGAGCTCAGAGGAATCTGAGATTTTA